CTAATTAACATACATTCACAATAGAGATGGGTGGGGAGCATTTTATTTTTATTTTTTTTTATTTTTTTTTATTTTTATTTTTTGCATTTTTTATTCGTGCGGGTCCTGCGCACATATGAGAATAGGTCATTTAAGGTGTCAAAATTTTTCTGACAACTTGGTTTAATTTGATGGATCTATCGTATATAAGTCCAGCTGACATTATTTTTAAATATATATTTATTTCCTTTTCAATGACATTGGGGTTTGGTTAATCACTTTTTCCAAAAATAAGTTCGATACTTCTAAGGGATATCCAACTGTATAAAAAATTGTGAAACTTTAAACTCAATTGTAATGATTTGGACAAAATTTAAAATGTATTTTTAGATATATAAAAATACGTTTTATAGTAATGATGTGGACAATCGTAAAACTTTAAACTCAATTGAAATGATGTGGACAAAATTTAAAATGTATTTTTAGTGTTTATGGTATAGAAAAAAATGAAAAAAAAAATAGAAAAAGAAAAGATCATTGCAAATAACTTAGCCTTTGTTTGGCAATTATAGTAGATAACTATATCCATACTACATTTTTTTATTAAATAATATTACTTGTAGTCACTCACTATCACAATCATTCGACGTGATATACATACGATAGTTAATGATTTGATATATAAAACAAGAAAAAAAATATCACATTAATACATTAAATTACAAACCACCATGTAGGATGTCACATAGGGCGATTACCGTTGTGAGTGAATACTCTTTTTTATTTGTTGAATCACATTTAAATTGCAATTAGACCCTCAATCTTTTCTATTGCAACAATTATATTACCAATCTCGTTTCCATTATATTCCTATAATGTTTAATACTTTCCTTACCAAATTTCCGTTGATAAGATGTGAAATGATTTATTTGTACATTATATTACAAACAATAAAAGCAAAAGCACAATAAAATATTTTTCCTCAATTCAAAACACGTGAATAGAATATTTTGACCGAAACTATCATTAGGAACAAGATGAGCTAATTGATCAGAGTCAATTTAGGTCTGGTTGGTTTCAAAGATAAAATACCCTCGTAAATCTTATTTATCTATTATTATTATTTTTTAAAAAGGGGATGCCAAGCTGAGGTCTTCGGGCTGGGCCCACGCTAACTCGAAAATTTTATCTACCAAGCCACTTAATTGACCAGAGTCGATTTGGTATGGGTTGGTTTTACAGATAAAATGGGCATCCCTAATTCTTAATTAAGATATTATTGTGATTCTCCATACACTTTGTTTTTAATTTCTTAAAGGTGCTTCAAAAATATTATCTAAAACTTCTAAAATACTTGATTATTCTATTTTTGTAAATGAAATGAGATTTTGAATCCCAACACCTTCTATTTAGAAGTTGCCTTGTTCAAGAGAAAAATTTTGGTGAGAAGGTCATTGAATAGAGAGTCACTATCTCAACGGGTGGTTTACCCTCACCCAATGATGTAAGGTTTTCAACTTTCTTGAGACTTGAATCTTTGGATGTAGCACACTTTATTGAACAAATAATGGATTACTTTCAACTTTGTGAAGAACAAATTATTTACTTTTCCGCCATTATTGCAATGTTAGCCATGTTCACTAACTTCAAGTCCACGACAGTTGATTGACGCTGAAATAATTTTAATAAAATGAGATAATATGGTGACATTCAATGTCATTTAAAGTATCTCTTATCGATAATGGTTGAAATTAAACCACAGTATAGGCATTGGGGTAGAAGCTTCAAAATCCGAATTGATTCACCGTAAAATCATCTTCCATGCAAAATTGTTATTGGACCTCAAGTTGAACCAATATTTATTTGATTTAATTATTTAAAAATTACTTTTCTTTCAATTTATTTTTAAACTTACATTTCACAAAAAAATTAAAAATAAAAAATAAAAAAATCATATTTTTCATTATTTTTTTCTATTTTTTAATCACACGTTCAAAAATAAAATATTATATATGGAAGAAAAGCAAAATTTTTAATAGAAAAAAGGTGAGGCGATGCATTGTTCCAAGACAATGGTGGTTGTCCCACCATTATAATATATGGAATAATTGCAGCAAAAGTTTCGAATCTTTGAAATATTAGCAAACTGTCCTCAAACTTTTGATTTATTGCATCCGTCACTCCTAACTTTTCCAAATGTTGTAGGTCAGGGCCCTTTGGACGGTTTCCATCGACAATTTCGTCAATTGACCAAAAATTTAACTTTAATCACATTTTTAATATTTAAGAAGGGACAAAAGAGTAATTTTTTATTTATCACATTAAATAATTACATTTATTAAATTAAACAATAAAAAATAAGAGAAAACAATAGAATCCTCTTCTACCCCCACCTCCATCTCAAACCCTCAGCCACCAACCATAAAACCCAACTTCAGGCCATCGTGGCCTTCGAATTATTGCACCACCATATTTCCTCATCAACAACTAACATCCCCACACAAATAAGAGCCCCAAATCACATCAAAATCAAATCAATTTCTATCCAAAAATCGTCTCTCACACACGATTTTCTTATAAATTCGACCAAATCCATGATGCCCACGTTCATTACATCTCACAAGTCGCTCAAGCTCATCAAGATGCTTTTTTACATGTTCCCTATAACAACAAACAATAAAGAAAATTGAAATTTATAGCAATTTTTTGAGACAGTGAACTCGCGGTTGACAAACTCATTTTCCGACGATGGTGGTCCCTATGATCACGAACCACCTATTTTGGCATCCTTTCATAAAGATGCACCCATTCCAACCATGGGTCATCAGCAATTTGGGCGCTAAGTGGACGAACAGGTTGGACAGTTCATATGCAAGGCGACCTGGTTTGTTCCCTTTCAATTGAGGGTTCTACACTACCTCCAATAATCAAATTTGACCTTAATACATTTAATTTAGGTTGGTAATACATTGGCGATTGTGATGGGGTGGATGGTAATGGCCGATGGCAGGTGTTTGGTTGAGGTGGACGTGGAGGTGGCGAAAGTCGGGTTGCTAAGGGTTGGGTGAGGTAGGGGTAGAAGATGATTGTTTTGTTTCATCCTTTTTTAAAAAAATAATAAAATTTAACAAATGTAATCATTTAATGTGATAAATAGAAATTTACTCTTTTGCTCATTTCTAAAATATTAAAAATGTGGCCAAAGTTAAATTTTTGATCAAGTGACGGAATTGTGGATGGAAAATGTCTAAAAGGGCCTTACCTGCAACGTTTGAAAAAGTTAGAGATGACGATTGTAATAAATTAAAAGTTTGAAAAAAATCTGCCAGTATTTCAAAAATTTTGGTTACTGGCTACAATTATCCCTTATAATATCCAGCTCCCATCACATTGCCTCACGTGATTCCTCACCTCCAAAATTGACTCACACTCTCTCTCCACTTGTAAATGGTTCTTTGAATTTTTTAAATTTTGTCAAAATAATGTATTTGTAACTACTCAACTTTACTACTACTGTCTTTATGTAGTTAATTAATGAAACCGATATGTATTGGTCCTTCAACTTGATTTATGATGTCTATCGTGTTAGCCGTGTCTGCCAACTCAACAATTTATAGTGAATTTTAGATGGTAGTATTAATTCGATATACTCGTTGCTGTATTTCAATGAGTAATTTTCGACACTCGGAGAATATTAAGTTCATATTTGAGCATCGTTCTCTAAAAATTCATTTTTTCTTAAATTCAATTTCATTTATACATTCTTTCGATAAAATAATTTTGCATGTAAACTTAAAATATTATTATTCTTTTTAATCACACATTCTTATTAAAAAAAACATTATTAAAAAATATATTATCCCTAAATTGGGGTTCAAACAGAGTTTAAGTAACAATATGATAAGAACTCTCAAGTCATGAAAAATACATTTTTTTTCCTTTTAAATTCAAGTGAGGGCTCAATTCTAAAAGATTTATTTTTTAAAAATATTTGACAAAAAAAGTTACTCAAAAGTAATTTTTAAAATTCACTAATTTGATTAAGCTTTAAAGACTACTAACATCTATGCTAGGCAAACGCACACCAATTATGCTCAATGTACATCACATTTGACAATACACCATTCGTCAATTAAAAAAAAAAAAAAAACTATCTTCCCGTTTAGAATTTTTTTGAAAACTTAAAGAATGTCAAAAAAGATATAGCTCTTGTTTGAGTTACATTATTTTTATAAGAATACATTTTTTAGTAGTTTATTAATGAAAAATATGTGATTAAAAAATCAGAAATAATTTTGAATTTACATTTAATATTATTTTATTAAAAATGTATAATTAAAATGATGTCAAATCACTATTTAAGAATATATATATATAATTAAAAAGAAAAAAAACGTGGGTCACAGTACAGGACACTCTAGCCCCTCAATACAACCTGGAATCCACCACTTATGGGTTGGCTATCCTTCTCTTATTATTATTTTTATTTAATCTAACCTTCCTCGTGCTTAAATTCTCGTTGAGAAAAAAAAAATGTAATAACTGAAATTAAGATCTGATTCAAAATTCGATTGTATGTAAAATTTAATAATAAAAAAAAAGGCTGATTCTACTCAAAATCGACCGATTTACACACTCAAAATTTTGTTTTTGTTTACCTATTTATTTGATTTATATTCATAAATTGTGTACGGGTCTTGAATTTCATGAAATATAATTTTAATTTTAAAAAATAAATTAAATAATATTTTTGCACGAAAAGCTTAATTTTTTAATGTGTTGGCGTTTAGCCCTTATTTGGTTGTTATTCTTAAAAAAAAAAAAAAAAAAAAAAAAAAAACCCATAATTCTGGATAGTGTTTTAGGAGAATAAACATTTAAAATGTAAAAAAATAAATTTAAAATTTACGTGCAAGATATTTTATAATATCATCGTGTGGTAGAAAAAAAGTCTACGACGCACCATTCCTCGTATGTGTTTGTGTTTGTGTTTGTGTTTGTGTTTGTGTTTATATATAGCTTCTTCAGTTTCTCGCCGTTCACTTTCACACACAAAGAAAAGGTTAAAATAATGGGAATTTGCAGTTCCTGTGAAGCTACATCTGTGGCCACAGCAAAACTGATATTATACGACGGAAGATTGCAGGAATTCCCATATCCTGTAAAGGTTTCTTATGTATCACAAAGAAACCCTACGTATTTCATCTGTAATTCCGACGAAATGGATTTCAACGACGTCGTTTCAGCTGTGAGTGACGACGAGGAATTACAGCCGGGTCAACTTTACTTCGCTTTGCCGTTGAGCCGATTGAAGCAACGGCTTCGGGCGGAGGAAATGGCCGCATTGGCTGTGAAAGCCAGCTCGGCGTTGGCCAAGAGTGGTTGCAGTGAGAAGTGCGGTTGCCGGCGGCACGTCTTGGTGTTTACCGGCGAGAATGGCCTGAAGCCGTCGTCAAGAAGCGGGGGACGGTGGTGATACTGTGAGTAGGCGGAGGAGTAGCGGTGGTGGTGGTGGGAGGAGAGGGAAGTTTGCGGCGAGGTTGAGTGCAATACCTGAGTAGGGGTATTTCGGGAAATGTCGGTCGAAAATTCATTATGTATGTACAGAGTTTAACGAGGCTAATGACTGATCACGAGTTAATTAACTAGAGTTATTGGGTTATTCAAATCAGCGTTACATTTTTCTTTTCCATTGCCAACTGTTAATTGGCAAATGTTAAATTAAAATTAATTGTTGACTTTAATTTAAATTTTAATATTTATTAAACAAGAACTCAATGCAGGTTGTTTACAATTTTGCCCCTGTACATACAAATTGATCCTGAATCCTACATTTTTCACTTTGCTTGCTACTATCTTGTCATGATAACTTTACGACTATATTTGCTAAGATAATCATAAAAAAGATTCGAGTTGGGATCAATGTTATCTAAACGATTACGACGTGCCAACCCTAGTATGAGAGGGCTAACTTGTAATCCACTTGTTGTGCGCAAACAATGAATTGAGCCCATATTTGATGGTTATTATTTGAGAAAAATAATATTTTGAATAGTAATTTTTAAGAATATGTGCGATTAAATAATTGAGAAAAATTTTGAATTTACCTACAGAATATTTTATTATGTGAATGTTCGTTTGAAAATGAATATGTATAATTTATTTATTTCAAATAATTGTCATCAAATAGCGACTTGGGAAATAGGGACTTAGAGAACAAGTCTAAGTAAGTTGAATAGTACTAAATATTATTAAAAAGGAAAATGAATTATAATTAAGACTGGTGAGAGAGGAGGGGACCAGAGATATATTTCGACACATTCTTTCGTGATTTTTAAGAAGAGAGATTGAAATTGATACCGTCGTGGGAGCTAAAAAATTGTCTGCATATCTTATAAAAATGACAATATATGTTGCTTTCAAGATTTGGAAATTTTTTTATTATACTCTGATATTTTCTGATCCTCTTAGAATATTATTTTTGTTATGTAATAACTATGAAATCTTTTCTTTTAATAAATTTTAATCTTATATATATACACACGTATATAAAATAACAAGGGAATTTTACTTCGAATATTACCATAAATACAATATACAATATAATTATAGAAATATTACTAATATCAGTTATTCATAATCGTTCATTACGATAGTCGCCCTACATGACATCTTATATGACGACTTGAAATTTGATATATTAATGTGATATATAGTTTTTTCTTGCTTCATCTATCAAATCACTAACCGTCACATGTTTGTCACGTAAGACAATCATGATAATGAATGACTACAAATAATATTATTCTATATAAAATAACAAGGAATTTTTTCTTCTAATGTTACAATAAATATGATATACATTATAATTATAGAAATATAACTAATATCAGATGAGTACATCGTCGTCTATCATTCTCAAAAACATTCTCGTAGAACCCACATAAGAACTTTTCTCAATCAATCATCGCCAAACTTAATTCAGATAAGATACTTTTAGACTCTTAGTCTTGAAAATATGTTTGGTCTACAAAATTACTTATTCTATTTAAATTATCTTAAAACTACTTTTTTATTAAAATAATTACGTTTTTTCAAAAGTAAACCTCACTAAGCCCCTGATATAGATTAAAAATCCGAGTTCAATTTCAAGTTAGTTAACAATTATTTTGATCAAATATTTTATGAAATTCATAACTTTTTAATTATACATTTTATTTTTTAAATCAAAATTTAATTCTATTCTACATGATAAATATACATTATTTGCGTCCATTTTTCGTTGGTTGTGTCGTCTTATAATTATGAAATCCACTGACCATCTATCTAATTTATTTGGATTTAGCACAGGCGACGTCGGTTTGAGGTCCCCGCTTTATTTCCTAACATCAACATACACTTGGTGTCAACTCATATTATGTGAGCCAGCTGCCAGAATCCAATGGTGCTGCACCTAAGCGAAATTGGTAATTTTTTCAAAAAGCCCAAGCAATAATGATAGATAACGTTTATAATTTGTTTAAATTATAAGTAAAAAAAGAAAAATTGGTAAAATTTTCAAAAAGACCAAGCAATAACGATAGATAACATTTATAAATCGTTTAAATTATAAGTAAAAAAAGAAAATGTGAGAGGTGAATAAGAGGGTGTTTGGTAGAGATTAAAATTA